TGATGTTTATTTTCCACTACCACACTGAACTGTTTTGATGGTTATTTATATAACTAAATAACTTTTTAGGCATTCAAGGCTACGACTAAAGAGAACAAATGTGTCATCTATATATTGCAACTGAAGGTCGATTGATTTTTTTCAAGAAAGTAAAGTTTCCTCTTCAAATTTTTTCAAGAAAAGTTCACATATGACAGGAGGAAGAAGCATACTAATTGGGAAACTGTTTGCAATTCCCAAAAACTTGCCTTTTATTAGATGTGAGAAGACAATGAAGTATGAAATCTAGAGTCAATTTAGTTTATATAAGAACAGGGTTGCCACCTAAGCAGCTCTAACATAAGGAACAATTTCATTGGTATTTGAAAATTTTCAGAAAATTGGAAACTAATTAAAAAAACAATGATGCACCCTATGCAAAATAAGACACAAATCACATTCCATTCTTACCTGAAATGGAACACTGCATTTTACTATTGAATGAGAAATGATTCCACAAATACAATACAGGGTGTAACCTTATGTACGAAGTATTTGACAGTCCTTCTCTTTTTGACTTATCATTTTCAGCATCATTAATGGGTGTTTTGGTGAAGAATGAAATGATATCAAAACTAACCATAAAATTTCTTTGTTAACTTGCATTTGGGAAAATAATTCTTTAAAATGTTGTGATTTTTTTTCACACTTGATGGTCTTTTAATGTTGATTTAGAGGTTGAAGAATGTTATAGGTTGGTGAACCAATAAAACATATAATACAGTGGATTGGATCATCAGTCGTGTGCAACTTTGGTCAATCACAAAGGAGGAGTGACAAGATTAGTGACCAAAAGTTAATATTAGAGTGATGTTTGTACAAAACAGATTTTTCCATATGTAAATAAGATGATTATAAAAAGTCACTCTTAACATGTTTGATCACTCTTAAGTATAATAGAATTTCATCTAGATCCATGGTTCTAGTGGAATATTTTGACTTTTTTACAGTCAGTATTATTTCTAAAACAAAAAAGAAAGGAGTTTACTACAGAAAAAAAAAGTAGAAATTGCTAGAATTTCTTCATCTTTACCATAATCTCAAGTCCAAAGGCTTAAGAGTTTGAACTGGCTTTTACCAGAAAATATATCTTCATACAGTATTTCAAGATATATCATAAAATCTAAGCAATACAAGTTGAGGAGAAGTTGAAATATGAGGGTCAAAGGTCAACAAGAAAAATATGTAAGCACAATGAGCAAAAATTATATAAGTGGTGAATTTGGCATATTTAAGAAGTGTTTTCATGTACATATATATGTCTTTCTTTTATTCTTGTGACGTCGTTTATACTTCATAAATGAATTTCACTTCATCTGGATACACCTTTGGGATTATAAAGGTCACTCTAAATGAACACTATATTTTTGCACTTGTCTTGGTCTATTTTATCAATTATTTATCTATTTATTTTTAATTTTTATTTTAATCAGTTATCTAGGTTTTAGAGATAACAATAATAATTTTTTTATATCTTTGGCACAAATAAGGTCAGTAGGTAGATTTGTTATATATATTATTTATAATTATATACAAACTAACAGAAAAGACAAATAATAAACATTTAAACAAAGAAAACCAAGATAAACACAATAACGAAGTGGTCATTCAGAGTGACTTTTATGACCCCAGAGGCATTTCCCGATGAAATGAAATTCATTTCATGCATTTATAGAACATTGTAAAAAGAATAAAACAAAGCCATAAACATGAAAACACTTATTAAACAGTTCAAATTCACAAAACTATTTCATTTTGCCTCATTATACTCACATATTTCTTGACCCTTGACTTCCATATTTTAACCCTTCCTTAAGTAGTATTGCTTAGATATCTTTGATATATCATGAGGTACTATATGAAGATGTTTTCTGATAAATGCCACTTCAGAGACTTAAATCTGTAGTCTTGGAATTATGAGCCAAAATCCATCTATTTTGTTTCTGTTGACCCCATTGGTGAGGAATTGTTGTCAAAATTTCCACTTTGTCTATGTATTTCATTATGATTTTACTTGAATATTAATGCTGACAATGACTTTTGGTGACCGATCTTGCCAGTTTTCTTTTCAATGCCATGTTATAGTAAACTGACAGATTGTACTATTGAGATTTTGCAATTTTCTTTGTTTTGGAATATTTTCAATATTTTGTTCATATACTTTTTGTCCCTTTTGGATGGACCACAGTTTTATTTCTCCAGGAATCCTGAAGTAAAATAGTAAACTTTATATCATACTGTTTTCAATCCATGACTATTGTTTTGCTATATTCACTAGACAGAAAAATGACTCGAGATCATCATTTCTTAATCCCTTTAAGGCTATTCCATGACTATGATTCACATTACTATATGATAAAGAGATGTTCTTTATTAATTCACACTAGGGGATGTAGATCTTTTCCTAGTGTAAGTTAACAAAGAACATCTTATGGCTAGTTTTAATATTGTTTCTGTTCAACAAAACACTTGTTAATGAGTTCATTAGTATGATCCTAAAAAACTGAAGTACAATTAAACACTTCATACATACCAACCTTGCATGAAACTTCACAGAGCATCTTCTACATGCTTTCAATAGGAAGCAAAATTTTGAGAGATGAAAAACATTACTCCAATGGGTTGTCCTCTATACCTTGTCATATGTTAGCCTTTCACTAAATAATTTGCAGATGAAGATTTATTCTCCTTCTCATAAAGAACAGATATTTGATTGAAAGATACAGAAGACACCCCAACGTTCTAAAAAAATCACAATCTTGAGTATGTGAAACAAGAGTCACCATAACCAACATCCATCAATACAGTTAATGATGGAAGGTGAAAATGAACATCAACAACTAATCTTATTGGATGTATATATATGAAATGTGTGTTTGGTTGCACCCTGACTCCTTTGAGCCTATTAGGCCAATCTCAACCAAAATTTGTATGTAAAACACTATGAACTATGGGAAATGTCCTAAGGGGGGTCAAAATTGAACTTAACCCTACTTATATTTTGTAAAAAAGCCTGTTGGTTAATTACTCCCAGCCTATTGAGTCAATCTCAAACAATCTTGGCAGGTTGATGCTTTAGACAATGTTGAATATTCTAAAGGGATTCAAGGTCAAAGTATTAAAGTTGTTGGATTGTTTCTCAAACAACCATGCTTTTCTCATGGTCAATGAGACCATGTAGGGTGTTCAAGGGTGGGATTATCTCAAAATCTTTATTTGTTGGTAGATGGAAAGCAAACTACAAATGTTGTTTACGAAGAAGCTTTGTTATAGTTTTAAAATTTTGAGATACAGTTTATGTTCAACTAATTACTTTGAAATATATAATTGCTGTTAAACTTACACTGTTTTAATTAAGTTTAAAGATTCTCCATCAATTGACAGGTATTTCAGCTTGTTAGTTATAAAAATAGACACAGGTATGAATACCGAACCTTACAGAAAACCAGTACCCACTAAGATACCTATACTATTCCTCCAGCCATTCAGATTTACCTAAAACAAATACAAGAAAAACAGGTAAATTACCTGTGATAGATATCTAAAGCTAGAGTTTAAAAAATCAATAAAAGTCAATTTTGAAACTAATGGAGTTCCAAATAGAATAAAAAACAAAAACTATACAGATAGAAAGAATTTGGACCTTTATTCCATACTGTATCCAAGGATTTGTGAAAAGCCAGGAAAACATTAAAACAGGTTTCAAAATAATCAACATACTTTATGGCACAGAGATTCATGTTAAAAATAAAGAAGAGATTCAGCTTCACGATGCCATACACAGCATACCATGTTCACATGGACTGGAGTATAATGGGGAGACTACTAAGCATTAGAACAAAATAACATCAAAATGCTACAAGATCTTACAATACCAAGGTATCCACTGTGACTGAGCATGCTCATTCGACTAGATATTAAATCGTGTGGGAAGACATTTAGATGCTTGAACAAGGCAATGACTACCAAAAACAAGAAGGGCATCATGGAATCAATTTGGATCAAGGCACATGGAAAGAAATGGCTTTCCCCTAATAAAAGCATAAACACAGATCATGACAGGAATAAACACAATGAAGATAGGTTCTATTCATTAAAAAAAAAAACTTTATCATGAATAATAATAGTTTCTTTACTTTTATTATTTAAATTTAATAGTAACAGGGATATTGTCAACCTTCATAAAACTATTGTTGCATGACTGAAGTGATATTCCATTTTGTCTAAAGGATTCACTATTAGTTAGCCCATAAACAACTAAAGGCAGTTGCTGAAACTGTAAGAAAACCTGGTAAATCAAACATAGGGAAAACTAAGTGGAAGAGGAAACCTTATTCATATGTCTTAATACATATACATATCATGTTATGAGTTTAAGCTTACATCAATAGCTGATGAAAATAATGGTTAAACTACACTGCATGATTTCTACAATAAAATATTTTAAAACACACTCAAACATAAGACAAATTTGGAGTGAATAAGTATGTTTGTTTGTTATGGATTTTGCACAAAGCTACATGAGGGCTATCTGCCCTAGCCATCCCTAATTTAGCAGTGTAAGACTAGAGGGAAGGCAGCTAGTCATCACCACCCACCGCAAACTCTTTTACCAATGAATAGTGGGATTGACCATCACATTATAATGCCCCCACAGCTGAAAGGGCGAGCATGTTTGTTGTGATGGGGATTCAAATCCACGTCCCTCATATTGCGAGTCAAGTGCCCTAACCACCTGGCCATGCCGGGCCCGAGTGAATAAGTAAAATGCTTGAAAAAACAAAAGTACTTAATAGTGTTTATTTGCAATCATACCTTACTTGCTTCTCTCACCAAAAACATTATAATATAAAGAAAAGTCTGACAGAAATCATGCTTGTTTTTATGTAAACATTCTGTTTCTGTTGAGGTTTTAACCCACATTAAAAGATGTATCTTAGAGACTTGAAAATGGTACAAACCCATGTCAGGTGTGTATTCACTAGAGTCCATGTTCAAGATGTAAGGAATGATACTGTCAATCTGAACGTTCCCTATTAAACCAGCAAAGAATAGTTCTTCGGTTATATTTGGCTGTAAGGATCGCAGAGCAGGAAGCCTAACATTGAAAAAAAAAGGGCAATTCTGGCACATGTAGTTTTAGAATAAAAATCTCACCATTCTTTTTTCAGTATATAAATATAGAAAGATATTTACACACCAAAGTTCTAGACCAACATAAATCTAGTGTTTAAAGTTTTAAATATGGTAGTACATAAAAAACAACTATTTTTGACCTGAACTTTTTCATTAATTTTCTCAAATATGATTAAATGTTTTTAATAAATGAAAAGAAAATTGTTACTCAGAATGAAAGTACACTTTCTACTTACACTAAAAATGATCTTTTTTGAAATCAAAATACTGATTTTCATTCCTGAATTAGAAGGAAATGCAATATAATTTTTTTGTAATTTTCAACCTTAGTGTTGATATTGGTGTACCTTAGTATACTTTACTTCTAGTGTTATAATCATTTATTGACTCCGTTTTAATATTCACAAATTGTTTTCTACTTGAGTTTTTGTACTTTTGTTGCTTGAGCCTCACTGTTCTCCTCACTTGGGTTTATTAACCTTAATGCTAGTACTTACACATTATTTTCTGCTTTACTGTTAATATTTTCAATGCTTTAACATCACTGTTAGCTATGCTTATATATTAACTTCACAACTTGGATCATTTGGGTTTATCAACCTCAATATTTACATTGTTTTTTGCCTTACTGTTAGTATTTTCAACAGTTTAATTTTATTGTTAGATAAGCTAGCATATTAACCTCACTGTTAGTATTTACACATTGTTTTCTGCTTTGATGTTAGTTTTTTTATGTTTTAATGTCACTTTTAGTTATGCTAGCATCTTAACCTCATTGTCTGAATCATTTGAGCTTGCTAACCTAAGTGTCAGTTACATATTGTTTTTTATATTGAATTTAGTTTTAATCTGTGTGTTGTAAATGACTGCATTTCATTAAAATGTTTTTTTGTATCCTCGGTATTTTACATGCAGGATTTCTTAAAAAAAACATTTTTATTACTTCTTAAAGATATAAGATTTTACCTGAGAAGTAATTTAGCAAACCTATCACTGTTTTCAGGGAAAGTCTGTGCAATATATGACCTCAGTTCCTGATAAGCTTTTTCCTGAAACTTCTCCACTTGTCGGGCACTTGGTAATGAAGGATGATCTGTGTAATATGAAGCAATCAAGTTATACCATAGTTTTCAGTTTGGTAAGGTTTTTTATTACATTATACAAAAAAAAGTATTATATTCTAGGAAATTATTAATAGCTTCTGGTCAAAGGTGAGCTATGTGTATAAATCAGGACTAAACAATAACTTTGGTGATGACAAACCCACTTTTTAGAAAATAAAAGTTTAGAAATGGCTTGAATGGGTAATGAAGAAAACTTTATTATAAATGTACAATTTTCGACAAGATTATGGTACTTGATGATGGCATAATATTGTTGAAACATTGTACATTTATAATAAAGTTTTCTTTATTACCCATTCAAGCCATCTCCACACTTTTAAATAATAACTTATTAATTAATGAAACTATTTCTATGTAACAAACTGACAAGAAGTACATGCTTAAATGAGAATATTCAGTGGGCATCTAAACTTCAATATTAACAGTGTTCATATGGTTTTACTAACAAGTTATTCAATGTTTGCTAAAATTAATTGGGTTCGGCATGTGTACTGAACTGCATTCACCTGCTCAACTAATGGTGGATTATAGCCCTCAACATATATATAATTAACCTCCACCTAAAGGGCAACATTGCTTATCCTCCCAACTTCCCCAACACAACTTCCCCATTTCCAAATCTCTTACATAGTATTTTTATATAATTTTTCTAGTAACATTTTACAACAATAAGAGCCTTTTAATAGAGAACTACAGATATTTAAGTATATTATATTACAATGATATTGAAAATGCAAGTCAGCTGATGACATAACCACAGCCAATATAAAGTTGTATTGGAATGGAATATATTAGCCCCAAATTTTAACATTGTTTTGGCTTTTCTTGGGCAGTGTGATGACATCAAAAACTTATCACTTTTGGAAAGGGTAAGTAATAGCCTTTTGTGACATAAAATATTCAAACACCAAGACCATAAAAATGTGTTCAGATCAGGAATTTAGAATTTCCAAGACAGAAACATCCCTTGTACTTAATGGCATTCATAAACAAAGGAATATGGATCAACTTCAGGCATCAAGACCACCCAGAAAGAGACCTGCAACAAGTCATACCACAGCCGTGGTAAGCAAAGTGAGATATCTTGTAATAGGTGAAAATTTATTAACACAAAGATCAGTAGCAAAATTTGTCCATGTGCCCCAAACAATGGTATATAATATAACCAAGAAGGATTCTATCTGGAAAAGTGACACTAGTTGCTTCCACAACATATCTATTCAACCATCAAACACTTCAGGTAGATGGAGAATGAAATGGTATTAATGTTATTCCACACAAACTCTAGTCTTTGGATGGAATAGCTATGGATTATTTGTGTGATTAGGCAGTTGAAATGGGAGCTTTAAAATCATCAACCTTGTACACTAGATAATAAAAAGCATGTAAGGAGGAGGGTGACAGCCTTACGACAAAGACTTTAACAATAGAAACTACACTACAAGTCTATTGTCAAGTTCAGATAAAGCATGAATGGATGTGGCCACATGGACTATGAGAATGTGGTTATCTCCAAAATTGTCTTAAGATAATGTACTCAATTTCTCTTTAGACCACTTTCACCAACATAATAGTGTGACATCAGAAAAAGCTTAGATACCATGTTGCAGGCCACATTGGCAGCTGTAAGCATGTACATGGTAGCATTAAATTCACCAAATTCTACAAGTTAAAGCACTTGTATCATTTCTTATCTGGTACAAAATTTAGATAAAATCTCTAAGAATTGGGTATCTTGTTAATTAAAACTTGATGGGAGTGTCAAATCCTAGGAAAGGAAAGAGTCCTCATTTTATTCAAGGTAAGTAACGTTCATCACTTTATATTGTATATAAGTGTAACATAAATGCAACATAACTAAATGAACTGCACAAAATATATACATTTTTTATGTATTTGTACATCAAATCAGTAAAGGTATTCCAGTACATGTAACCATTCCTAGACCTTTAACATGAATGGTAAGAATAGTACAGCTAGTAGTGGTGGGTATTTGGACTAAAAATAAAAATAATTTTTAAACAAATCCATAGCTAAATATTTTAGAACCTAAGCCCTTTCCAAATGTACTAATACTAATAACAAAACACTAACTAGTACCTAGTTTTCATATAAGGAGGCAGTACCATGAGAACATGAGAAAAGGAATCAACAAAATTTTGGGAACAGATAATTAGGCAGATTTCTTGAAAATTTCACTTTTACCCTGTCTTTAAAGTACAAACCTGACATATATTATTATTAATTCACTCCATTTCCCACTGATACAGATATGCTGAGTGACAAAACATCTGTAGGATCCTCACAAGAAGAGAGGTCTGTGAATGGCTACACTAGTTGGTCATCCTTATGTTAACATTATGATTTCCCAGACCATCTCTTATACCAATTTATATAATACCTGGTTTCTGGCATTATAACTTTTCACCTTATGTGGTATACACTGTATATGTTGTAGTTGTTCACTTGACCAGCAATATGGCAGATAAACAGTTGTTACATGAGTGAGTGATGTTACATGAAAATCCTTTATACACTGATGTTTACAGATTTGCAAATTTAGTTACTTCAGAAAAATATATATATATATTTAGAAAACAAAACATTATACCCTGAAAAATGTGAATTTCATATTGTATTATGGGTAGTACTCATTAACACAACTATCAAGCTTCTTTGATCAGTTACAGGCTTAACCTCTTTACATTCATTCACAGCTTATATTAATGGTTTTAGGTTTAACTGTAAAATATCTTACCTGGACTAAACAGCACTATGGCTTTCAAGTAAGCATATTCGTGTTCATCAACCTGTAAGCGTAGCATAGAGTTGACAAACTCTTGGAGTTTACAGATGTGGTCTGTAACCTGTTTCACTCTTTCAGCAGAAAGACGATCTAGTGAGAAAGAAACAAACAATACTGCTCAATTATTAAAACAAAATTTTTATTCATAAAAAGCCATCATATCTAATGTGAAACTTCATGGCAGAAGCTTAGAGACTGGTGAAAAAGATTTAATCATGTTGAACATTATTCTAAAGATAATAATCAGATAATGGCTGTTTACAAGATGACTAAAATATGACCATGATGAATATTATTTTCAAGTTGAATAAAAATAGCCAATAAGATGATGACCAAATCCAGTTGTGTGTACAAAAATCAGAAAATTATTAGCAGGATGATGACTAATGTAACCCAAACTTTCACGTAATTCCGTTAGGCTTAAGAAGATGAACACCAAAATCAACAGTGTAATTTAACTATGTTATATCATGGATGGATGGGACAACACTGTTGTAATAAAAGCAAAAGAATTTTCTATATGACTACAGCATCATAATTATTATGATATAAAAGACTGTTTGGTTTAGATATTAATGATTAACTTATTTTTGTGAGTGAATATTTTATTATTGTTTAGTTTTTGTTATAATAAGAGTTAAAAGCAGATGGTTGTGGGAAGTTTTGTTAATAATTCATTGACATCGAGAATATAGAAGGCAGACAGACGATTAAGTGATAAAGATATAAATAGCATGAGACGAGCAGGATGCAGCAGACAGATATATAATAGCAAAAGAGAATAAAGTTGGTGTGAAGTTAACTACTGTAGAAGTGATAGGCCTAATGTTTAAATATGTTAGAGTGAAACTAACAATAGAAAAGAAGATAAGAAAAAGAATTTTATTCCATCAAAGCGTGGTTCTAAAGTAATTGAATCAGCCTGAGTGCACTTTGACAAAAGGAGCAGAGGATCTTCAAAAGAAAGAAGACCAAACAATTATGGTAACTCGCACCACAATTGTAAGTCAATTACAGAGAATACTAGTGTGATAGAAATAAAGCAGATAGTTTGGCTTGTCAACTGAAATTCTAAAGTAATTGAATAGGCCTAAGTGGATATTTGACAAGAAGGAGAGAACTACATATATAGTATTTATTATATGTTCATAATATCTGTAGCGTTGAAGAATCTATTTTACGTACATTAACTTGTTCTCAATATATATATTATTTTGTAAACATGTGAAGTGTGTGCTGTTTATTCATCCTTGAATTTATCACTAACAAGTCACAGACACCTACTGTAGAAGAATCCTAAGCCCAACAACAACATAGTATATATTTATACTATTAAGAAATATAACTAAAAACCTTTCTATTTGACAACTGACAAAAATGAAAGTTATATATATATATATAATACTTATATTTTTAAATCCTGACAATAATAAATACCTGGACTACGATGTTAACATTAATAATTAAGTTATAAAGAAGTGCTTGCATAACTTGGAGGTAAACATTAATCTTGCACCAAAACTTTGACAACATCAAGCAATAAGATTTATGATGTAAAACTGTAGCTCTGGCAATGATAAATAAAGTTCTAAAACATTTTGTGGATATGAATACAATGATTCAACTAGTGTAAAGATGAAAACAAAGTCTCTGGGTATTTTATGGAATTAACGTGTAAACCTGCTGCCTGGATATCTCTCCAATGATCAACAAAATCCAAATCACAAGTTAAAAAAACAATCAAGAACTTTGCAGGATCCCTTACGATAAGTAGCTTGTCTTTAGTGTTCAGGTGATGATAATTATCACAGTAGAGACATGCCTCAAGGGTGGGCAAAGCCTGGAACCTTGCTGTCTATGAATATCTCAAACTGCCCAACCAAAAGCAATGAAGATGACTGTATTGATGTTGGGACAGAGACTAGAAATGTTTGTACCAAATCCCATGCAAATTGGCCAAAATATGATGAAGTAATTGTCAAAAAACTAAAATTATGCTTTTTGTGACAAATCCAACATTTTTGATTTTTTGTCAATATGTGTTGTCTGTAGAAAAGTATCCTTGTACCAAACTCTATGTAAATTTGTTACAACAAGACTAAGTAATTCATCAAAACCCCCTAAAATTATGGGTTTATTTAACCTTTTGACCCCCTAAAGTGATCAAAAATGGTCATACCCCACATTTTTGCATGTATATGTATGGGACCTGTGAAAAATATCTTTGTACCAAATATTATGTAAATTAGCTGAAATATGGCAGAGTAACTGTCAAAAAAACCCACCTATAATTACTAAAAATGGGTAAGTTCAACATTTTTATTTGTCATTGTATGGGACCTGTAGAAAAGTATCTTTGTATTACCAAATCCCATGTAAATTCATCAAAATATGGATTAGTAATTGAATAAAAAACTCCAATATTATGTTTTACTTGTGAGCTCTGAACCCCCTGAAAAGACTCAAAATGGGCAAATCCAACTTTTTACATTAATGTGTTGGGCACAAGAAAATCTATAGTTGTGCCAATTTTCATCTTGGTTATTGTAAATATGACCACACAAAAGCCAAAAATATACATTTTTTGGGTTCTTTCACATTTAACCACATAAAATCCTTAAAAATGCCTAGATCAACAAATTAAAAACTTGAACCAAAGTATTACCCTACTAAGTTTCAAGTCAGTCTGCTGAGAAATGAAGGAATGGCATTTGATTGAAGTGTTTGGAAGAAGAAGAAACAATAGAAAAACATGTATGCCTCTCTGGAAAGACATGAAAAACAATGATAACAACAAAATCCTTTTTTTATATAGATTTGAGGTGGATTGTGAACTCCTTTAACACAGATAGTGAAAGAAGTCAAGAAATTGAGGAAGGCTAACAACACACAAGAAACTATGAAAACTGACACACAGTGTATACAGACACAATAAGTGATGACAACAACAAAAGCTTAAGTGCTTCCTTTTATAGGTTTTAGGCAGATTGTCATCTCACCCAAGGTATATCATTTGCCCAAGATGAAAGGGAGGGAAAAGCAAAAGAGACTCAAGTGTTACAGGAATGGGTGAGCCAAAGTGTGTAGTGTGGTTAAAGCACAATCAGACTGTATGATGTGTGCTCACCTAGACTCTACTGGACAGAATCTGGCTGCAGAAGAAGAGCACAGTAGCTGTTTGAGGAGTGACCCATACTACATTCACAGTGTCACCACTACCCCACTTCTCACTGCATTGTGCTAAGCCCATACAATAAGGATTCTCCATGGTCCACCATTCTAGTGGCTAGGAACTGGTAAGTGGCAAGGATCTCCCATGTTTCAATTGACAGAAGAGAAGGAAAATTCATGTTTGGGAAACCCAAAGAAGTACCCAGAACCCCATTGGATCACCAGGCAGAAAGATCTTTTACTGGTTACAGTGTAATGGGTGATTGCAGTCACTTTCCTCTTGCTGAATTTTTCCATGATAGTCCATGAAATTGGTACATTCTGGATCAGACAAATGAATAAACTTGTATGCCACAAGAATACCTCATGTGGTCTTACAGAACACCCCATCTTGCAGTGGGCACTGGTAGAGTCAGGGCAGATGGGCTGAAAATTTTCCATTATCTTAGCTCAATGTGGATTTGGGGAATAAGCATATCCTGCAAGGCAACATCAGCCATCTGGCAGCATCCTGATTGATGGAAGGGAGTGAAAGGAATAAGAAAAACATACATACCCATGTTGATAATGGTGGGTTGATTGAAGAATGATGACCGGGGGAAGTCAAAATCTTGTATTATCCACATATCTGCCTGGGGTATGTAATTCAAGGATTGACAAAGGTGGGAAGCAAGAGATGAGACAGGTCAAAAATCTGATGCAAAGAAATGTGAAATAGCCTGTGAGCATCCACATACAGAGGAGTTGATGGACCCATTCAGTGAGGGTGAAAGAAGAGGATCCCAGGACAGGAACAGGCAGTGGCAGGGACCCCAAAAAGTAGAAGTCCATGATAAATAACACTGAAAATCCCAAACAGGACACAGGAGCATATCTGGGTCTGAATAATCATAATGGTGAAAAATAGATGGAAGAGAGATAGGACAGAAAGTATGGTTACTTTTTCAAGCAGCAGAAGCCTTAGAAAGGAAAGATCAGTGCAGGTAGAGGAGTATATAAGTGTAGTGGAAGAGGGTGTGAGAAGCATCAATAGCACAAATATCAAAATGACAATGACCACAGGCAAGAAGGAGTAAATAAGTCTTGAGAGAAAGATGGTACAAAGAACAAAAAACCAATGGCTCAAATGGGGCATGCAAAACCACATTAAAGTCCCAGTCAAGCATGGGAGTTGGGTAAGAAGGTCAATGAAAAATAAAAGAGCAGAACAGAGTGAAGAGAACAGGGGAAGAAAACAAACTGTAGTAGATATTGTTGTCCAATAACCAGCAATGGCAGAGACCAACAGATCATGGTCTAATAGCCAATTTAAAAAAAGGCAGAAGGGTGGAGCATAGTATAATGGCTGGGAGGAAGGGAGTGGCAGATGGATCAATGATGAAAACCAAGTAGACAGACAAAGTGAAAGGGTGATCAGAGTGTGACAAGAAGAAAGTTACACGTGCAAATGGTGAGACAACATCCCTTGATGAAAAAGGGATGTATGAGGTTGAAGCAAGAGTGAGGGGACATTGTGTACATGAAGAGCGGGGGGGGGGACACAAAGTAAAGAAGCAGAGGAAACTAAGGCTGAGTCAGCCAAAGAGGCACCACATTAGAATTTGAGGAGGAGTGTTGTGTATCAAATTAAGGATCTGAGGGAGGAGTGGAAGATGAGGATAGGCATACAGAAAAAGGTCAGGCCAGTCCTGGTTGAGAGCTTCAACAGCCAAACCAAAGAATGAAGAACAGGGTCTAGAAGAGAGGAATACTGGAGTCAAGAGGAATGGCAAAGATGACTATGAGGGACATTCCCAACTGAGATCAAACCTAACTAAATACCTGGGGGTGAAGAGACCACACTGTGGATAAAGTGTGGTTCAGCCAAGAAAAGCAGTCTGCCACAAGGTACATAGCTCCTGGCACATGATAGGCAACAAGATGAACCCAATGTGAATGAGCTCAGAAGAGTAGGTTCAACACTTGAAAGCAAAGGATCCTGGTACGTGTGTGTGTCCCCCCCTCCCCCCTTGAAGGTATATGCAAGAAACAACCATGGATATGGTGGAGTAGAATATGACCAATTGATCCACCAAAAGGGGAAGGAAATGGGAACATGCCCAACAAACAGTGAGAAGTTCAAGAATGTTGATGCACCTCAAACTGAGAGGAAAGCATCAGTGAAGAGATAGAACTGGTTTGGGAGTTGATAAAGGAATACTGGAAGTAGTATGGGCACAGTCCAGTCACCATGACAATTCCTTGAGGAAAGGTTAACGAGGACAATGAAACTTACGAAGATATGCCTTGGATCTGTAATGTCCATTGGAGGAGACACACGGGTGTGTGCCCAAATGAATGAGGTGTTCCAGGGAAGCCAGCGTCCCTAAAAGTGATATAATCCCTCATGCAGGATGAGAAGGAGTAGTGGAAATCCTGGTGATCAGATACTCCACAGCTCACAGATGAAAAGGAAAAGGCTGAGACAAGAGAAGAAAAAATTCCCAAAAGTACCACATATTGAGTAGGCATGAAAAAGGACTTGGATATCTAGACAAGAAATCACAACTGTATAGTCTCATGCAAAAATAGGGAGGTGTAAAAAAAGAGGATACCACCTTAGAATGGAACAATAGAAAGCAATGGATCAAAAAAAAGGAATGGCAGCCTCAAGCCATGAAGAATACAAAAGGGACTGATGTTATGTTGAAGGAAAGAGCAAGGAATTGGAAGACGTGAATCTGGTAAACAGAACATAGAAAATATGGAGGATGGGTCAATAGGGATATGTAAGAAGGTGTTTGACACATTGACCATACGAAACTGCAAACTGGGTGAAAAAGACCATAGACAGGGTTGGAGGGAGGAGAAAAGGAAATAAGAAGAGGAGCAAAGAGAAGTGGAGATAAAATAAAAAATGACTGTTAGCAGAAAATGAGACCAATTGCAGGTAAAGAGGAAAAGACAAGTACCCACAGGGCTGTATGTGACAGGGCAGTCACTGATAAAAAGTGCAATGAACCAAACATTGGGTAATTGGAAGATGAGAAAAGTAGGAAGGCCTGGAACCTGGAATGGTAAAGTTAGGGTTAGACTGATCCAGATGACGGACAGGGAGCAAGGTTGAGAAAGAACTAAACAAACCTGAGAAAATAATGAGGACTGAAATTATACAACTACAGTCCATGTTACCGGTAAGAAATTAACCACTACCATGCACACAAGAAGGAAGAAGGTGTACAGTAAAGAGGAATGCAACTTGACCCAATGAGTTTTGATATGTAATGAGATGGCAGATAAGAAGGTTCTACTAAATCTATTGGGTTAACTAATAGCTAACAGTATGTAAAGCTGGTTCATAAAAACTGGAAGAGTAATTCTGAAAATCCTACTTTGCTAGAAATGATTTACTTGACTGAAAGAATGGTAATAGTGCATTCTATCTTACTGTATACAGTTTTAGAAATGGTTCATTTGAATTTTAAAAAATGGTAATAGTAAATGATCTATTTAAACTGAAAAGGTGGTAATAGTAAGTCCTACCTTGTTGTACATTGTTCTAGAAATGGTTTATTTGAGCTGAAAAATGGAAATAGTAAGTTCTACCTTGCTGTACACTGTTTTGAAGATGACTGACAATAGCTGTCAAGATGGTGGCTAAAGACATTAGTTGGGAACACTGTGCCAATCCTAGTGTAAAGAGCTCACTCCAACTTCCTCGCACTAATGTCGCTTGGACTTGTGGGCTACAGTAAAGATAGTTGTATTCACAGACAAGCTTAAAATATTTAATAAAAAGTAGCAAACCATGATCAGTAGTACAAATAACTTTTAGCATTACTATGAAAAATCATGTAATTCTACAGTTCATCCAGTAGAGAAGCTATTTCACTCTCTTATTATTAACACAAACAGTATACAGTGTCAATAATACTCACTAAAAGCATATAATCTGTTTTGTCCCTATTGAAAGGTAGTTTCAAATTAGTCAGTAAACTAATATTCTTTTAGAATACTCACAGAAGTAGCTGGAATGCTGGAATGGACCTTGCCCAGTGGACAGACAGGAAGAGAAGTCGTGAAGCACTTTCACAGATGTAATGGACATTGAGGAAAGAGCTCCCTGGGTTTGGAGTGGTCAAGTTAAATGCTACATGACTGTCCAGAAGCAGAGGGCCTGTTTGAAGGAAATAAATGTTGATATAATGTAAAAAAAGTTGTTGGTTTATGAGAATTAGAGAATTTATAAATTGAATCATAATAAAATTACAAACACCAGAGGTAGAACTGGTTAAAATTTGGTAATATTATTAAAATGAAATGAATATCTGTAAGTATGTAAATTTCATAAAATCAACTCTAGTGAACAACTTAAAATGTTTTTTCTTAATTTCAGCACAGTAGCCTTTTTAAAACAAATAAATGGGTAGATTATTTTTATGCCCCAAGTATTTACTGTCAATGCTACATTTTGATTTGAACATTCAAAAATAGGCAGTCACTGGATTAAATTATTTAAATAAATGTAGTTAAACTGTTGTCAACATCCAGATTCACAGGCAGCCCATAAGGGTCAAGAGATGAAAAAAACTTAATCACTTTCAAAAATGAAACAGTCGCTTTAATTCTGATAAAGAGAAAGAAAGTTTAGTGATATCTTACTTTAAAAAGTCCCTGTAGTTGTTATTTAAAAGACCATTAACATTATTAAAATTTCATAAAATGAAAGCCAGTTAACTGATAGCTCTTTATTAAACATATAATTGTACTAATTTGAGTGTTAAATACTAAAAAGACATGTGAATAGGTATAATTTTTTCAAACGTTTAAATATGGAAGCTACTAATTAACTTAAAACTAAAACCTTATATAATAAATTAAGAATGCATGGAAGACTCACCTTCTAATTCAAACAAAGACTCATTATCTGAGTCCATGTGAAGACCTATCTGATCAGAACAGCTGGTGGCTACCTTGAATAAAAATATTAGAATATCAAAAGAGTGTTTTATTAAACTACGGAGAAAGTGAGTATATGAAATGCCAACAATTTCTGTGTTTAGGGTTGTATGCAAATGTTTTAATAAACTATGGAGAAAGTGAGTATGTGAAATGCCAACAATTTCTATGTTTAGGGTTGTATGCAAATGTTTTAATAAACTATGGAGAAAGTGAGTATGTGAAATGCCAACAATTTCTGTGTTTAGGGTTGTATGTAAATGTTTTAATAAACTATGGAGAAAGTGAGTATGTGAAATGCCAACAATTTCTGTGTTTAGGGTTGTATGTAAATGTTTTAATAAACTATGGAGAAAGTGAGTATGTGAAATGCCAACAATTTCTGTGTTTAGGGTTGTATGTAAATGTTTTAATAAACTATGGAGAAAGTGAGTATGTGAAATGCCAACAATTCCTGTGTTTAGGGTTGTATGCAAATGTTTTAATAAACTATGGAGAAAGTGAGTATGTGAAATGCCAACAATTTCTGTGTTTAGGGTTGTATGCAAATGTTTTAATAAACTATGGAGAAAGTGAGTATGTGAAATGCCAACAATTTCTGTGTTTAGGGTTGTATGTAAATGTTTTAATAAACTATGGAGAAAGTGAGTATGTGAAATGCTGACAATTTCTGTGTTTAGGGTTGTATGTGAATATGGATCATAAAGACCTATTGTTATCTTTAATTTGTAATAACTTAGAGACAAGTGCAAAGTCAAAACTGACTGATTTTACTGCTTTTATTGTTCTTCCTATAAGGTATGACTTAACACCACTAAAGTTTGTATGTGCTATGTGTCACTTTCAAATGAAATAAATTATTTTAACATGCTAAGTTTGTCAGACACACACTTTCCATGGTCACATACTGATTCTGCACCTAAAGTGCATTACATCAGTAATTCACACAATCTTTTTACAGTTCTTTAGCTGTTTTAATACTAAACTAGTATTGTAAAGGACATGGCTATTTCTTTGTAACATACAAAGTATCATGCAGTACAATGAGTGACGTGAAAGCAGCATCATTCATTGTGAGGTTATAAATAAAATAACTTCAAATATATATATATATTGCTCAACTTGTAGAGTTTTAAAAGTATTAATAAATTTACTTACATAAAATGCTATTTCACACACACAAGTCTATACAATATATTTTACACCAGTACATTGTTTCTTTTTTTTACTATTTAGAAATGGCCAAAGCACTGGCTCTTCTCCCTCTAATTTTGGAGTCCCATTGCAGCATATTTGTCAATATGCAGTCCTATTGCATTGCATGTTCCCTAATTTCGAACAACTGACCACAGGGAGGCAACTTTGTTTCCTACTGCATGTACCATATTTTGGTTAGTAATTTATAAAAACTGACTGCCAATAAAACTTGAAAGTGCAATTCATATTTAATGATAATTCTATTAGAAAAGAGTATTGAAAAGCTGAGACATATAAATAACAATATTAGGTTATTATACATGTAAACAAACAGGGGGTAGTACTGATAATCTATGTTTATGGAAGGCTAACGTAAATTTTTCTTCACATGCAACTTTTAACGGAAAATATAGTTAACACAAAAACTAAATTTTGTATACACACTGATTATGGCTTCAAGATAAGTAGCTTAATAGGCACATGTTCTAAGATATATACAAAGTACCCCACGAATATATATTTATATCTGCATTTCTTTCCAAAATATATGCATTTTGTTTACTTGTTAAACAACTGATGGTTAACAAACCTAAAATGAAGCAGAGGCTTATGAAATATGAAACAAATTTTGTGATGGAACAAAAAATGAAAAATTTTAACTATTTTATAAGAAAGGCTAAGAATTAGTTGCACAAATTCTTCAAATTTATACATCAATACTTTAAAACTAAAGTACTTCTGTATTCCCTATAACCCTTTAAATATAGAACGTTTATGTCTTTCAACAGTACATACACTTTTTTTATAATTATTTTTCAGGAATCAATGATTTATATCTTATTGGTATTTACCCCATCAACTAGTGAAGAGTTTTGTTGTAAGGCAGCCTTGGCAATAGTGTCAAAAGCTTTCGAGATCACATTTTTTTCCTTTGGTAAATTGTATCTATTCAACTCCGAGTCTCCATTGGTCAATACATTTGAGTGACCACTACTTGAATGTTTCATAGTGACCAGCACATTAGCTAGTGTACTCAATTCTGAAATCAGAGAAATAATGAATGGACTATTTACAGATTGGGTTTTGTCTTAGCTCTTTCTAAGTAACATAATTATGTTTCCTTATAAACAGTATTTATAACCAGAGTAAGAATTACTATGTCAAATATTTGAAACTGTTTAAATCTGTAATTTAATGTTTTCTTTTTATAACTTCCTATTTTAGAGTTACTGTTAGTGGTACTTAAAATACTCATTTTTACTCATAACAACACCATTTTATATGTTTAGTTTGCTTATGATGCAAATGTTAACATTCTTCATTTAACCTGTATTACCAATGTTCTAGTTACAACTAACAGCAACAGTTCATTTCTCCCTTTCTAATAAGAAAATGATATGGCTGAGGGATATAGTTATTTATTTAACATAACATAACATAATATTTTGGGACAACATGGAACCTATTGGTCCATCTCGGCTGTTCCATCCTCAAACTAAATTAAAATGATTAAAAACTAAAATAAAAAATTTTAAACTTTTTTAAAATTTAAAATTTTTTCATTCATATACTTATAAAGCTTTTTCTTAAAGTCACTTAAATTTACTGCATCTACAACATCTGAAGACAACCCATTCCAAAGGCCAACCACCCTGTTAGAAAAACAAAATGATCTTAGCTGAAGATGATTCCTACCTTGCCAAAATTTATATTTGGGTCCCCTAGTCCTACTATTCTCATTGTTAAATATAGAGAAAAATGATACATCAACACTATCAATTCCCTTTACAATCTTAAACACCCCAATCAGAGCCCCCCTA